TGACACTGCAAATCACGTAACATCTCTATGAATTCATTTATGTACATCGAAAATAGCCATGGACTTAATATACAACCTTAACGAACACCAACATTACATGTAAAGTATTCAGTGATTTTGTTTCCAATCTTAACGCAGCTCAATACACGCTGGTAAATTGACTGTAATGTTGTAATCATCTTTCCATGTACACCTTTATTGATAAGGCAATAAAACAATTTTTTTACGGTCGATGGAGTCAAATGCTTTTGAGAAGTCGATAAAAGCACAATACACCTTCCCACGCTTTTTTGTGATATATTTCTGCACTATAGATTGTAGCGTAAAAATATTGTCAATTGTAGAATATCCTTGACGAAATCCAGCTTGTTCCTCGGGGATAAGTCCCAGGGTCTTTGACCATAAATTCAGTCTTTTGTTTAAAACTGATGTGAATATTTTACTACTGGAGTCAAGTAATGAGATTCCCCTGTGGTTATTGGGATCTTCTCTGTCTCCTTTTTTGAAAAGAGGAATAATCATCCTGTTATTCCAAGATTCTGGAAACTGACCAGAGTTGAAAATTTGGTTAAAAAGTTTCCGTAGGAGATCTCTCACATCTTTGTTGGAATTTTTGTAGAATTCATTTGGTATTCCATCTTGTCCCGGACTTTTATTATTTCGTAATCCCTTGATCACTTCCTGAATTTCTTCTTTTGTGATTTCTGCATTAAGAATCTCATCAGAGTTACAAGAACATAAATCACAACTTTCCTTGTGTCGTTCTAGTATATTGTTGACATGTTCGGTAAAGTCATCTACTGTGGTATCAGCTTCTTCCTTGTGAAATAAGTTGCTAAAGTATTAAGAGTTGATAAATATAGCACTGAGGTTACGGAGGTTGATGTACAGCTAGAGCATTTGTCTAAATTCAAGTGGGATATGAACAAATCTGTTGAATTTTTACAAAATATTTGTAGTACAGATGTGGTATTAGAAATCAATAGTACAATTGAGTTAGAGGACTTAAGTACGGAGGACAATGTCTGTAAATTGAGGGGTGTCTTGGAGAGGTGTGGTAGGCACATGGAAGTAAAAGGAAGAAAAATTACTGAGACAAACACAGAAAAAACTAACCAAAAGTGGTTCGACAAAGAGTGTGAACTACTTAAGAAAAAAGAGTGTGAACTTCTTAATAAATACAGAACAACACGCACATCAGAACAGTTAGATGAATACCTTGAATGTAAGAAACAATATAAGGATCTATGTGTGAAAAAAAAAGATACAGAGAACTTATGAAAAACATATTGTGTGAAGCAACTAAAGATTCTACTGAGTTCTAGAAAACTATAAAGCTGCAGAAGTCAAGTCAATTAATAGTAAAAAAAAACAATCAGTTTTTTTGCCTAGGAAGTGGGTGGAATACTTTAGCAACTTATTTCACAAGGAAGAAGCTGATACCACAGTAGATGACTTTACCGAACATGTCAACAATATACTAGAACGACACAAGGAAAGTTGTGATTTATGTTCTTGTAACTCTGATGAGATTCTTAATGCAGAAATCACAAAAGAAGAAATTCAGGAAGTGATCAAGGGATTACGAAATAATAAAAGTCCGGGACAAGATGGAATACCAAATGAATTCTACAAAAATTCCAACAAAGATGTGAGAGATCTCCTACGGAAACTTTTTAACCAAATTTTCAACTCTGGTCAGTTTCCAGAATCTTGGAATAAAAGGATGATTATTCCTCTTTTCAAAAAAGGAGACAGAGAAGATCCCAATAACCACAGGGGAATCTCATTACTTGACTCCAGTAGTAAAATATTCACATCAGTTTTAAACAAAAGACTGAATTTATGGTCAAAGACCCTGGGACTTATCCCCGAGGAACAAGCTGGATTTCGTCAAGGATATTCTACAATTGACAATATTTTTACGCTACAATCTATAGTGCAGAAATATATCACAAAAAAGCGTGGGAAGGTGTATTGTGCTTTTATCGACTTCTCAAAAGCATTTGACTCCATCGACCGTAAAAAAATTGTTTTATTGCCTTATCAATAAAGGTGTACATGGAAAGATGATTACAACATTACAGTCAATTTACCAGCGTGTATTGAGCTGCGTTAAGATTGGAAACAAAATCACTGAATACTTTACATGTAATGTTGGTGTTCGTTAAGGTTGTATATTAAGTCCATGGCTATTTTCGATGTACATAAATGAATTCATAGAGATGTTACGTGATTTGCAGTGTCAAGGGATGTATATTACAAACCAAATATTGGACATAATTGCCCTCCTGTTTGCGGACGATCTTCTTATGATATCAGATACAGCTAACGGCCTACAGAGAAAACTAAATATACTTGAAAAGTTTTGCGCAAAATGGAACTTAACAGTAAATATGGACAAATCCAAAGTATTGGTTTTCAACAGAGGCGGGGCAGTTGCAGGTACAGAAAAATGGGTGTTTAACGGACAATCTATGGAAGTGGAATCTTCCTACAAGTATCTTGGCATCACATTCTCTTGTAGACTGAAATGGTCCCAATGTTGCAAGTTACTGGCACTACAGGCACAAAAGGCGTTGAATATATTGAAGCACACCTTGAAAAATTTGAATAACCGTGAACCTAGTGTGTGTTTGATAGTGTTATTGTTCCGATTCTAACATACGGGGCAGAAGTCTGGGGAACAGATGTGATCGAAGAGATTGAAACTGTACAAACGACTTCTGCAAGTGGATATTAGGAATAAACAGAAAAGCCACCAATATAATGGCCAGAGGAGAATGTGGAAGACTTCCATTGTGTGTGACCGACATGATAAAACCAGTGAAATACTTGTTAAAATTACAAGAAATGGAATCTTCAAGATATCCAAAACAGTGTTTTCAGATTTTTTGCAATTTGTATTTGTACAATAACCGTTTAACACCAAACTGGGTATCTAAATTGAAATCAGTCTTAAATCATTACGGCTTTGGGGATGTTTGGCTAAGTGGTGGACCTGGAGATTCAAAGGCTTTTCTGTCAGAATTAAAACAAAGGCTGCGAGACTGTGCCCTACAAGATTGGAATACACAATTAACAGATTCATCAAAATGTGCGTTCTATACTATGTTCAAAAAACAGCTTGCTTGTAAGAGCTACCTCTCCTCTCGAAGCTACCCTTCTAAAACAGGTATTAGCTTCTTTTAGGTGTTCTTTTCACAAACTACGTATTGTCCGATGTTGTGAGACTTGAGAAGAAATTTTTTGTCTCAATATTGTCCATCACAACAAAAGATGTATCAGTTTGTATTGATCAGCTTTTAATAGCAAAGACAAAAATGTTCTCAAACGTACAGCTGTTTTTACAAAAAAAAAAATGTTTGTCCATGAGACAAGAAATATTAACCTTATGATCTATGATGATTTTGGTTACACAACATAGTATTATTCCTGTTTTTGTTTTTTGTTTCTTTTTTTTTCAATTTTCATGCTATGCACTTTGTATTAAATGTTTATGCCACACATGTATATGATGTTTATATATGTACAGTGGGCAACGGCCTGTAAGTACCTAATAAACATCTTATCTTATCTTATCTTATTCGAAGCTAAGATGTCTTAAAACATTATGACATAGAAATACTCCAAGCTTTTAATCACTGTGAGGGATCAGAGAGTTGTAATTCTTTGTAATATATAATGCTTCACGTTATGTCATCATAATGAAACTATTTAAAAGAGTGAAAATAAAAAAAAATTGAATATTTTTAAATTTATAAATATAAATTATTTATTTTTAATTATTAATATTCTAAATTCGACGATATACTTAAATATTGGTTACATTTAAAGTCAAATAGAGTGCCATTTGATCATTCAGAATTCTTGAATTTATAGTGCGCAATTTACATGAGTGAAACGGAATGCAGCTCAAAGTCGGAGGGAAGTAGGCAAAACTGGAGGAGCCCCCTCCCCATAAGACTAAGTAAATCGCAAGAAAGAATTGTGCATGGGAATAATTGGGTATACTCCAATTTCTACCTCAGAGGGTGGTATCAACACCTGTGAGGTCACCCGGAAAATCCATCTATGAAACTCTCTCTCTCTTTTCCTAGGTTAAGACGTCTTCTTAAATCAGTATGACAGAGAAAACTCTCTCTCTCTCTATTATAGGTTAACATTAATTGATTGTACATTATTGAACGTCCCTATCAAGAATCATTCACTCATATGGAGACGCCACCATGTAACATGTGGAGAGCTACGAATTTTGTCCTATTCTCGACACTTACAACCGTTGACCAATGAGGGATCTTATTCGTGCTAGCACCTACTGCGACACGGGGCCTCGGTTTATACGATTTCATCCGAAGAACCGGTCTCCAAGTCCTACAGTGGGATTTGAACAAGACTGAGACGTAAGGATCAACTCCTTACTCTGCGACTCTCTCAGGTTAAGTGAGATTAAATTTTATTCCGTTAACAGGTCACATCGTACTATGTATGTTGTGCATCTTCGTGAGGCACTGAATGTCATAAGAATTCTAACCATAGGTATTCTTGGAAAGTAGATGCATACAGGCACGTAATTTAACATGGGGGAAGGGAGGTCCAAACATACTTTTTACATTTTACCATTGAAAGATCGCCCTTCCCCCTTTTTGGGTTGTAGAGTAAGATAAGGGCAATGTAGTTGTGTATTCATGAGTAAATTCCCCAGAGTACGAAATAGGATTTTCGCACAGGCACCTGACGTTACTTATTTTTCATTTTTCTTTTAATAAAAAAATATACCCCTACCTAAAAATAAATTATTTTTAGGTAGGGGTTATATTTTTTGTTATTTAAAGAAAAATAAAGTAACATCAGGTGCCTGTGGATTTTCTAGCTACAAAATTTTCGGCGTTCTTTTTCGCTTGTCAAGTTTTTTTTTTTTAATTTAAGATACACAGGCAACTTAGCCACATATGATTCTCATATGAGTATCATATGATTCTCATATGATTGGTTTTATATGAGAATCATAGAAAAAGGGCATCATATGTGAATCATATGAAGCAAATCATATGATTTACATATGATCCACATATGTGAATCATATGAAAATAACTACATATGATTTTCATATGAATGATTTAAGTGTGTTTCAAGCCATTTACATATGAGAATCATATGAAAAGGACATCATATGTAAATCATATGAAACACATGTGTGTTCTTTTTCAATATTTTTCACATTCTTGTACACATTTAAAAATCAGATATTTCTGCTTTAGATGAAAATTCATTACATTACAATGATCTATCTTCATTGGTTAAATATTTTAAAATATCTTAAAATGCTTACACAACTTTTTTGATAAAATTATTTTCATCAAGAGAAATAACTTATTTTTCACAGTGTACATTCTAAACAAGAAAATATACAAACAAGTCAGTAGCATTTGTCGATACATGTATTTAACATATTCTAACATGAGTACAAATTATAAGATTTCAGCAAAATGATTTAGTAGTTAAACATGTATACTGTACATGTACAAATGAATAACATAATTAGTTCATGTATAAAAATACCATATGACATGAAAGTGTCCAAAGCAAAATTGAAATATCAGCAATAACATTTGTCATGTATTCTCTATTGTAAATTTATGAAAAATCAAGTTATTGATTATTCCAGCATACAATAAGAATATGGGAAATTTTCACAGCTCAAATTCAGACAAGATTGTGTACATCCTCCCCATTTCATAATTATTCCATATATTTCCTTGTTCTTTTTCCTTCTGTATCTTTCATTTTTTTCAGTTGTCCTCCCTTTGATCTTCCATGACCATTTTGAAAATCTCTTTGAACTGTACCGTACCAAAAATGAATATCCACCACTTCTCCTCTTCCTGAACAATTTCTTTGTGGCACAGAATGGTCTCTACAAAAATTTCAAAAGTAAAAATAAAATAATTCTTAAATTCTATGAGTTATAAAAGTTACTTAGGTATAATCAGCAAACAAATCATAATCAGCAAACAAATCATGAAATGTATGCCTAATTCACTGACACAGATATGATACAAGATAAAACTTACGTTAAATATGTTATACCATATGATGTAATTTGCAAAACAATTACACTATTGAAAGATATGCTTCATAATAAAATCATAAAAAGCAATTTTTTGTTATTTTGACAATTAAATTTGGAATGTTCAAACAGTATATATTAATTCAAATTGTCAAAAAATTAAGAAGATTCTGATACAAATACATGTATATTATTTTTGGACAAAAAATACTACAGACAAGTAGACCGGCAGAAAAACAGACATTGTGATTCCAAGATATCCCAAACTTTTGGGAAGACTATAACAAAGTTTATTTAACAGTGTGTAGTTACCTTAACTTTGAAGCAAGCCTTGGATCTTGGGATTTGTTCTTTATCTTATGAGAGGCTGACTGTATATTGAACCTGTAAGACAAATACTCACAGTCTCACACAGTAGATATTTTCTAAGAATACATTTAATTAAAACTTACTATTAAAAAGAGAAAGTACAAGTTTGTAGGTTCTCTATAGTCTTAAATATATCTAACATTTAACCCGAAACTATAGGCACGCGCATCATTCACTAGTGTTGGGGGGAAAATTAATTGTCAGTCAGTGAATACATAGATGTAAATATTCAATGGATTAGCTAGCTGATGTTCTTTCAACACACGTACATGCACATGTATTTATACCTTCACTGTTATAAATTTTTAGTTGAAATTCAAAAATCCAATTTATCCCCCCTCTCCCCAAAAAGTTATTGTATACTATATAGTTTCATAGCCTTTACAGTCAGCAAAATCTATTCATACTTTGCATATTTTAAGTGCACTGGATTAAAATTATAATGTAGAATAAAGGATGAGGTGACATAACTGCTATCTGGGGCCCCTTTTTCCACGACGAATTATATTTAATCTACAACGATGTTTGTAGTTTTCAAACATGAGTGAATAAATACGACGCCTTTTGAATAGTTTCAATAGTTCAGACACATTTTAATTATAAGGAATACTGCATTATCTTTGATTTTTTAGACCCCATCGCAGCTAAATTCAGCCAGGTTTGTGAGAATATGTTCTTTTATGGCAAGAGAATGGGCGGGTTTTAGTACAATAGAGGGATATGCGCGTGTCCGAGAAGACCTTATATGGCTATTATTATTATTTAGCACATAGTCATTGTCCAATCCGATGACAGAACAACAAAACATGCTGGTTTACTACGTTTACATTTTATCAAAGACACGTGGTTTAGGTCTATTTACCTTTATAGTTTTCTACATTTCAAACGTTTATAATGGTCAGCCAAGACTGTTTATACTTAATAAAACGCATGGATTTTCAGCATTTACGGTTTTAGGACAAGAAATGCATATGAAAGTTGTATTCACTGATACTCGGGAATACGTGTAGACCTAGCGAATTGCTCACTAAACACGCTACAAAAACTTTAAACTAATGTATATTTATCAATTGTTTGTAATTGTATATGAATTTAATTTACTGTAATCTTGGAAATTGTACATATGTAGATCCGTGTCTAATCTGTGACTCAAATGCATTAAAACATTATCGGAAAGCAGTAAAATTCCAAGCATGTTTCCATAGTATTTTTGTGGTACTCACTCGTAACGAACTTCATTTAGCTGATTGGTCAGTTAGAAAGTATCGCCAGTGCCTCGATTAGCATATGAATTTATTCTTACGTCAGAAAATCTTGTTCCGTCGATCTGTTCATAATGGAAAAGGCCAGCGAGATTTTACATTCTTTTTAAAATAGCATGTGAGGCAGTTAGGTACAATTTTCTCCTTTCACATATAGGTAGATTTCAATAAAATACAGTGACCAGCCAAAGGAGAAAATTGTACCTACCTGCGCTCGTATATTTTATGGGCTTCAAAGAGTGGGGCGGGGTCAAATTTCAATGGGAATTGGATGTAAACATGATACCCCTACCCAAATAAAAGATCTATATCTTTCAAATCACGTTTCTATTTTTGTTAAAAATGGTATTTCATATAGGTATACATATCAGTGATTAGTTACATACAAAAATTTGAGTAAAATTCGGACATTTAATTTTTTGTCAATTTACCGGGGGCCGCAAGTCACCTCATCCTTTCTAGAGTATTGAGTTGAGTTGAATTTATTTTTGATGAAGCCATGCAAACAATGTAGAATTATAAAAGAAAAAAAATAAATAATAGAGAAATATTTTGTCATAAAGAGACATTACAGATACTTTGATTTTTTATTGCAAGTATTTATTTTTACCTTCAATATTGTGATGATGCAATCGTCTGTCAAATCAGCTTCAGGATCAATCGCCAGTCTTATCAGCTTCGGGCTCTTTGGACTGAAAAAAAAAACAGCACTGTGACACTGAACTCAAGTTGCCGAATGCATCATTCTATAAGCCATAAAAACAAACATTTGTCATTAAGTTGAAGAAGGATTCAATCCGGACTTGATAACGATCTCAACATACATAACCCGAAGCAACAGTATTTTTAGTGTTAACACTTACAAAATTAATTTACTTTTTGTACAAAAAAATTCTTGTTTAGTGAATTAATATTTCGCAAGGTAATTTATTGTAGAAACATGTCTTGCTTGTTTTGCAAGGTCACATCATTCATCAATTCAGGCCAATAAATCTCAAGAATAAAGTAACTTTTTAAAATGCACTTAAACTGCTTACATTCTCTGTATTATTGCTAACTATGCATGCTAAAGATTACCATAGAATAAATACATTTATTATAGCAAATCATAAACTTTCATTATAAAATGTAGTAAGTCAAAATAATTTAAATAAGAATTAAAATATCTCCATTTTAGCTCACCTAGTCGAAATCTCAAGTGATTTTTAATTTGTTTGTTGTCATTTCGGTGATATTGGCGTCGTCCTTGTCGTAAACCTTTCGAAATGTCATCTTATCGAAAGTACTGTGGGCAATGAGCTCACTAAATTATACCCCGCCTCCCATATGAATTTAAAAAAAACGGTGTCCATGTTTTGTTACGGGAAACCTAAATTATGTGTCGGATCAAAAAGATAAATAAGAGGTCACATTGGCCACATATAATAAAGATTATGTGAAAGTCATCAAATTTCATTCAGTGGTATAAGAGGAGTTGCGGATAAGAAATTGGTGCCCCAAAGCGTAACAGACGGACGAACGGACATCACGATTACCATATACCTTCCCACTTTTCAAGCGGTTGGTATACTAAAAGATACCACAGAGTCTGACACATTTTCCATACTTTGATGTTTTACTGATTATAGACGATAAATGTCAATTAACAACACGATCAAACGAAAATATTTCAATATTTCCATTTGTTTAAAATTCAGAAAATTTACTAGAAAAAGATACATCTTGTGACAAAGATGACTGATTTCAAGATTCTAAACATCTGAATTTTTTAGATTTTACTATTCCAAAAGTAAGTCATTGAGACCTTTCTTTCAACAAACTGAGTCAACTAAAAAGTAGTTCTAATCCTCTTATTATCTTAAATATTAAGATACAACTAAAGGATTCAAAAAGTATTCACGATAAACTTTCATTAACTTAATATCTGAAATAATTATTAAAATATAGTTATGACATTCCAAATGTAGGTCGTTGTGACCTACTTTTCGTTAAGGCCTCATGAAAAGGATAATTGTTAAGTCCCAATTAGGCTAGACAGTGTCCAAAATATGCATGTTACTAGTATACAATTTGAAAATAATTACTTGCACGAGAGGCCCACAGACCTTGTAGGTCACCTGAGTTTGATATTTCAACTTTATATTGGGTTCATATTCTGAACCAAAGGCAATGAAAGTCACTACTAGTATTTTAAAAGAAAAAGCCATGTTTTCTCAACACATATTAACATTTAATCTGTTAACTTGATACACAGAAGCAGATAATTATCAAATAAATAAAGAAGAAGGTACAGTTTCAATACAAATAAAGCCCTATAGTTTTCTAAAATATGAAAAATGATTTAAGAAATTAAAATTCATTCTTTCTGAATCATATGAATTCTTTGCAGTAAGAATACACAAATGATTTTTCTCATATGACCTCGTAAATGCTAATTGTGACGTCATTAACTTGTGCATTTTCCCGTATTTTCTTAAAAAGTTGCAGAAGACATCAATTTTCAGTGGAATTTTCTTTTAGAAAACATACTCTGCCACCGTACGCCCGGAAAGATTTTGAGATATACACTGTATGATTTTTCATGGCTGTTTGCACAATATATCCAAAATTTAAAGCGGAAATTAGCAGAAAAACGAGTCATTTTGAAGCTTTTCTGCTTTAAACTTAAAAATGTACCATGATGTCATATTTCAAGAAAGGCTCTTCTTCATGCCATATTCTTTAATGATTTATCATATTCATCTACTCAACTGTTGTTGAAGCCAATTTCATAACTTTTCAAGAATAATTGTTGCCGGATGACCAAGCGTGTTATCCATTCTAATTGAATACTCAATAAAACACAAGTCCAAAGAGTTTCAAATATATATTCTGTTTTTAAAACTACAATAATTCACTGGAATCGTACACGTAGTGTTCCTCGTTGCGCACACTCCCCTCTCGGGTTGGGACCTACTCATAAAGAAACAATACACAATATTAAGTTACAAGTTACTACACAAATTATTACACAAATGGTTAACCATACTTTACACATAGCATATAGCCTATAGCATATAGCTTATAGCATACAGCATACAGCATATAGCCTATAGCCTATAGCAGCACTGCGTTTTTATACACACTTGCACTTAATTACTCGTTACACTTATTCAACACTACACATGTTCAAGTAGAGATGTATTTAAATATACACTAGATACGTTTATGAAACGTTACACTAACGGAACACCATACTTGAAAACCAGCGAACTTTTACAACACAACTATTTATAGAAACGAAAACTATACAAACACGCTTAACATAATGAACAATTTCAACATTTACGGAATATTAAACACAATTAAAAACATGCTATTTGAACAAAGTTACCCAGGACCTTGAAATTAACAAAAACTGAATGAAAGAATAAATAAAACTCGTACTCACCTCAGAAGCTGAGTGTCTGTATCTAATAAACTTGTACTTAGAAAATATTATTGACATTGTCTCAAATTTAACTGGCTAAGGATGGAATTCACACATTTACAGAATTATCAAAGACCCGTGCATGTTCTAGCGTAACACGGCAAGAAAAGAGAGTGATTCACTCAACTGTGCTCGTTAAATAGACTTGAAGAATTGAGGCTCCATAAAGGATAAAATAGTAGAGGTCACCTACAGGATAACTGAGTATTATACAAATAAAAACATACAAGTAGAGTAAATGTGACAATAATAAATCATTCTTTTTTTTTGGTGTTGCTGCTGGCCCCTACCCCGTCCGCACACTACACACATGCACCCTTCTTTCAAGATTCCTGGATTCTCAGCTGCATGCATAAGCTGAATGTCAAAATAGTTGTTTTTTTATTTTGTCTTTACACATATGTACATGTATGTATATCAGTACATGGATACACATGTACCAGTAGTCCTTTTCCTCAATTCAAGACCATATTTCTCTTTATGAATGGGCTCTCATTTTTTAAAGAAAAAAATGTATTTGTACGAAACGTTCTGATGGATACTCAGAATATGAATCTAGTTAGTATATATTTTATTGACCATAGCAAGTACAAGTGCCAGTTCTTAAGTTAGGGGTGCATAATTCATGAGTATATCATGTTTAACGATAAATTTTCAGTAGATATGACTTTTATATCAGGATTATTGTTTTGTTTTTTTGTTTTTTTGGCACGAATTATATAGAATGATCTGTCTAGGATATTTGCTTGACATTTATTTTCCGTTTTCCGTTCCATTCCGCTTTCCGTTTTCCGTTTTCCGTTCCGCGTTTTAGCAACACCCTTAAATGTCAAAGTAAATCAATAAGTTATCTTTCCGTGTTAATTCACATAGGAAATCATAAAGTATACTTTTCAAATGTATGAAATTTTAAATTAAACCCCCAAAAAGAGGATTAATTAAAAAAAAAGTAGTCAATATATGAGCAGGCAATACAGTATTTCTCTTCTTGTTTGCAAAAGCATAATATTTTTAAAGCATATTGTTTCTTATTTCCCTAACAAAAAATTTTATAATTAATAATAGTGATTCAATTTTTTCGTTATAGTAAATCAAATTATTTATCATGAATTTCAGAAAGATATATTTTATTTGGTAAAATTACTACATTTTTTTTCTCAAGAAAATTCACCTCATTTTTTTTTTTCATTTTAATCCATTTTTTCTTTTTTCTTAAATCCACAACGGCTAGCCATTGAAGAGACTGCATATATAACAAGTTAATAAACCTTTCGCTTCGCTAAAAATACAGACTCCTGGATGCTGCACAAT